GGGGAACGGAGTGAGTGGTGCGGGCAGGAATCTTGTCGGATCGGCCTACGTGCACACTGGGGTGAGTGAACTCAGTGCGACAGACCCCAGTGAGTCAGACCTCAGTGCGACATACTTTAGTGCGACAAACGTCACAGATCCAGCGCGCTGCCTTGTGTGGAGCGATAGTCGCATCGCCATGCCAAAATTCTTCCAATAGGGTGACCACTAGGCAATTGATATGTTATCTGAATAATCGCTGCACTTCAATGTGATGTCGCACTGTGAAGTGCAAAACAATATTGATACAAAAATCATAGCGAACCGACCACAAACTGACTCGTGCTCAGCAAAATTCGAACCTGCGCGGGCAGAGCCCAACAGGTTTCTAGTCTGTCCCGATAACCACTCCGGCATGAGCACATATATCTATGAGAGCAGTAGCCACATTACTACTCTTACCAGCACATCTGCTTCTCCTTTTGCTCTACCCTGGGAACCCAGTAGCCCTGCCTAACCTCACCTCATCTTCTCGTCCATCAAGACGAAAACCGACGGCATGCAACAGGCTCACTAGTAGTGATGGAGAAGAACATAGGCCCACTACTAGTAGTAGCAGACATTGATGTGGGAGAGGAAGGTGCGGAGCTGGGAGGGGTGGGGAAGGAGGGTTGGGGGGGAGGGGGTATGGAGTGGAGAGGGGAGGGGATAGTACCTTGGGCCTGGATGAACAGTGTGCCCGCGTTGTGGGGTCCCAACTCCATGCAGTGGGGCAGACGTGGGTCTAGGAGAAGCAGGTGCGGTGCAGATCTGGGAGGGAATGAGGCGGAGGGAAAGGAGGAAAAATGGCAGTGGCTTGTGAGAATGATGTGGGAGACAGTGCCATAAGGGTGCGAACGTGTGGTCCAGGAGTCCGTATAAAGGAAGCCGATGCAGAGCTAGGGTGGAGATGTGGGAGAAAGTGCTGTAGGGGCTTATATTTCTCGGTGTATGGGACGCAGGTGCAGAACTGGAACTGGTGGGGGAGGGGGGAGAGGGGGGAGGGAGGGGGGTGGGAGGTTGGGGGAGGGGAGAGCGGGAAAGAAGGGTGGAAAAGCGGGGAAAGCGGAGGAGCGGGTAGAGGCAGATATGAAGGAGTCACAAGGCGTTGGTGTAGGACAGGAATCACACATGCGATTCTGGATGGATGGGGAAAGGGGGGTTGCGAATGGGAGTTGGATGGAAAGAGGAAATCAGAGTTTGGGAGGGAGGGGAAGGTAGTTGAGGGAAGATGGCGGAACGGGTCCCACCTGGCTGCAACCAGCTTCTTAACTCACCTGTCCTGCTGTCACCTCCCTCCAGCCATCTCATCCCCCAGCCCAGCCACTTTCACCCACTCCTCACCGAATCTCAGCAACTCCCACCTTGGTGGCGCCCAGCTGCTCAATGCCACCATTCACTTCACTTATCGCCTGCGCATGACTCAAGAGATTCCTACACGCGACTCCTCGTCCCGAACAGACTCTCGCCTTGGCGAGATCCAGCTTGTCAACCGCCCCCGGGCCCCGTCCACCCATCGTTAACACTCCAGGCATCCCCTATGGCCTCCGCCCGCCCCAGCAGCACTCCCCATCCTCCTCCCCTTCACCCCGCCTTCACTCCCCTTCCACCTCCCTTCACTGCTCTCTCGAGTGAACCTCACACACGCCCCTAACCCACAGATTCCGCTCACCGACTCTCACATACATACCCACCCATGACCGACTCTCACCTTCGTCATCCAACCGAAGCCACAAGAGCAGTAGATATGCCGAAGTGGCATGTGTGAGCAACCATGCGAAGCTCGGGACCTGGATCTTACTTCACTTCTCATTGTGTGCTTTCGACCTCAACTATATAGACCTGTGGGGAGGTGGGAGCAGAGGCGCGGGGATTCAGGACAACATGAGCGGAAAAAGGGGGGGTGGGGGGGGTTGGAGGGTGACGTGGGGGGAGGGGGAAGAGGCAGAATGGGAGAGAGAAGATGGAGCAGTAAATAGGGACAGGGGGAGGTCAGGAAACCAATAGCAGCGGCAGTAACTGTTGCAACACGTGGATGGCACAATGACGCCTCAACAAGCTGTGCCACGTGGCATGCGACAACTGAATCTCCTTTATCCGTCCAATCTTCCCCGCACCATCATCCCTTCGCCTTTTACTTTATGCATCATGAAATGTCCCATTAACCATATCTGTCACGTCAGTAGTAAATAGCTCTAATGTAAGCACCGGACTAAGCGTCTTGCTGCTGTGACGCCATGCGTTGAATGCTCAGTGAAACACAGAAAGCGCAGCTTACCATCAGCATTACTCCGTCCTTCCAACCCCTCCAACGAAATCCACCGCATCTTCGACGCCCCAACAAAAAAGCCTGAACAGGTCGAGGCGGCCTCGGTGCATACCGCCTGTGCATGCGGCCAAGTCGCCATCCTATATCAGAAATCCCGCGAATGGGTGTCGCGATTTGCCTGAGCAGGCAACAGGGACCGCCGAAGGAAGGCTGCATCACTTGTGCAGCGTCGCACTAGCATCACCAGCCGCAGCAACAGCAGCAGCTGCGCGCCGTCGCGGCGCGAGGCGAGAGCGAGCAGCAGCATTCGCAGCAGCAGCGGCGGAAGCTGCGCGCCGAGCAAGGCGGGAGTGCGCGATGTGGGGAGAGTGATAGTTGTCTCGAATGGACTCGAGTCTGATAATGCCGCAACCTAGCAGCGGCTGGCGACACGGGCAGGAGGACGTGTCGTTGCTGTAGCTGCTACTTGAAAATAATGTCTGTTTGTGGCTGCAGGGGCTATTGATGGGACTAATAGTGGATTGAGTTGACGTCGACGAAGACGCTGGCGACGATTCCGCCAACGCGACGATGGAGCGGACGGAAAAGCGGGTACGGTTCCATAGACAGCTCGTAGAAACCGCCATGTATTTTTCATGCTTGAGGGAGTGGACTCGTGAACTGAGAAGCTATGCACGGAAGGTTCAAAAATAGGGTTGGAGAGCTGTGATGATTATAGAACAGAGATTGATATGACGAAATGTGTGATTGATACACGTTCACAACCTAGCTTAGCGAGATTCGTGGTGGCGAGGTTTGGGCAACGGCGAAAACGAAAGGTTCGGAATCGATTCGACTCAGCTTCGGTTTCGTCAACTCGGCCGAGCCTGATCCCCGTCATGTTCGGGGCTTCGTCCGATACCTAAAATGATGCCACCAAACCAAAATCAAACCGAACGCACAGACAGAAGTTTACGCACACCAAACCAAACGCCTTCCCAGGAACCAAAATGCCAGCCAAGCTTGGCGTGACAGACGTACACATTTTGCTTCGGCACGGCAAAGCCGGAGTAGCTGCTAGTTTTTCGCGAATCGGAACCTCGTACCCTTCGGTAAGTCGCACAATGCGGCAGCGACATGAACATACTCAGTAACCCTATATTGTTTGCTTCCACGAGGCAGAACGACGCTCGATCAGAAAGCTTACTAGAATCCATTCGCGGATGTCCGATCTTTTCGCGTTCGAGGCTTCTAGGCTCTGCTGTGCGTTTTGTCCATTTTTTTGGCGCCTACGAATTGGTCGCTGTGCTTCGCTGTCGGTTCTGCCAGGTTCGGTCGTCGTGATGGGTGCTTTGAGCTGTAGGCTCGGCGCGCTTATGCTCTCCATGCAGTCCGCAGTGTGACTATTGACCCCTCCCAAGGTCCGTTATTGCTTTCATGTTGCCTGGCTGAATGTGGTGATGTGTCGCCATCATCTTGCTGTCGTTCGCCTTGTCTCGCCACCATTTTCGAGTTGTCACGGCCATTTCGATATGTCACGCTCATTCCGAAAGCCACGCCCCCGTTTCACCATGTCGCGCCGCCATCCGCTCAGGCGACGGTGAGTCGCACTTGCACCGCTTGCATTTTCTTGAGAATGCGCTCCCTGCATGCTCTCCGCGCTTTCGCCTAGAAGTACGAGCGGTGTTACTAGCATTACAGGCCGCGCGCGCGTCTAGTGCTAAGGCGCGACTGGGGGCCGTGGCTTCACGCGGTCAGCCGGCTGTAGGCTCCTTGAGTCACCGAGACCTGATGGCGTGGCATATGGCGGGGCCAAACCCGTGGTTTAGTTTGGCTCCTGGACGCAAAAGCGGATGATCGTAGTAGCGCGGCTCGGCTGCGTGCTTGCCATGTCCTGGTGTGGTGGCAGTTGGTACGGCGAGCACAGCGGCGTTTCACGCGTAGCGGCGTAGCTGAAGCTGAGGTGGGCGGGCGTTCCCAGTGGCATGACAGCGAGCGCGAGAGAGCTCATTCCCCCACGCAAGGCGCACTGCGGACCTGACAGCACGCGATGCCTAGGGGGGCTGCGTCTGTGGGAGAGCTAAGTGCCGTGAGGCTGCCTTTACGACGTGCCGCGTATGTGCTTGTACCTTGTCGCTTGGGGAGCGCATCGTTGCTTTGTGCATCTTCGCGCTGTGTATCGTTGCGCTGTGTATCGTTGCGCTGTGTATCATTGCGCTGTGTATCGTTGCGTTGTGTATCGTTGCACTGTGTATCGTTGCACAGTGTATCGTTGCGCAGTGTATCATTGCGCAGTGTATTGTTGCGCAGTGTATCGTCGCTCAGTGCGACTGAGTCAACCCCCCTATGGACACCCCCTCAACTGTCGAACTGTCCTTGTCATTGAATACAAGTGGTACAGCAAAGTCGATGGTAAAGAAGCAAGGTAAGAACGCATAAGCCAACCTAAGCAAAGAATAAAGCCCTGACAGGTATGTGTTACGAGGGGGGAAGGAAATGAAAAGGAGGTGGGGGGAATGGGGGTGGTGTCATGGGGAGTGGGGGTGCTCGCTCTCTCCTGCATCCTAGCGCTCTCCCTCTGCCTCGCTTCTGCCTTCCCCTCCCCTCTCCCGGTTTCATTAACTCCCCTCCCCCTTCCCTATCGTTCCCCCCTGCCGCTCTTACCAAGTGTAGACCCATCTCCTGCCCCGCCATGCTCCCACTGCTGCTGCTCACCATCTTCTGCTCGCGCTGCATGCTGGCGGCGGGGTGGCGAATACAGGTGGCAGGCTGTGAGTGCGCCCGAGCGGGTGGTGAGGCAGCATGGAGTGGTATGGGAATGGGGTGGTATGGAGTGATGCAACGGAATGGGAAGGTATGGGGCGGTGGGGCGGCGGCATGCAGGGGTGGTGTGAGATTTAACATGCGAAGATTCGCCAATGCCACTGTGACTCTCTTTCACCGCGTTCCTCAGAAGCGCTCTAGCCGTTTCGCATGTTGTGCAACGGTCAATCCCTCTCCTGAACGCACAACTCACCCTTAACATCCTTGTTCCACCTCTCACTGCCCCCTCTTTGCCTCTCCATGCCCCCTCTTTGCCTCTCCATGCCCCCCTTCCTATGCTACTACCCTGTTATCACCCCGCCTTCCCTCCTTTCCCTCCCTTTCCTCCCTCCACTCCCTCTTCTCATCCCCTCTCCCAACAACCCTCACTCATCTGTCACACAACCCCATCACAAAAATCCAGCGTCCAGAAAGCCAATGAAAAGAGGCTCGTTGGAGCTTTTTCAAATGATTTAGAAACGTAGGGTTTCAAACGCTTTTCTGAGAAAGTATAGGTCGTTTTCCAAATGCGTTGTCGAATGTTTTTCAAATGGTACTCGAATGCTTCTCTGTCCAAAACTGCATCTTGAATACCTTCGACTGACGTTTGGTATGAGTTTTTGCGAAGTGATTTTGGAGACTAGATCTGATTGCATTGTACTCTTCAGTGAGTTTGATGTTGACTTCATACTACTAATTATTGGACATTCCACAAACGTTATTAATATTTTTAAGAGGGCCTCTTCCGGTCCCTGCGTGCCCCCATGCCCCTCCCCATGTGGATTCCCTCCCCCCACACTCCACCGTGCCCGCTGACCTCCGTGAGCCCGCGGCTGCACCCCCTGCGTCCAACCCTCTCCGGCCTTCGCTGGCAGTCAAGCTGTTCCGCAGGTGCTGGCGGCATGGGGGCAGCTTGGGGGCGGCTGGCAGGCGTGGTCGGGCAGCAGTGACTGCTCAACCGTGCAGGGCGTCACGTGCGACGCTCATGGCAAGGCAACGTTGTCTCCCTGGTACGTGAGGCATGTGAATGCTGCTCCAGCGCATGTGAGTGCTGCTCCAGCGCATGTGAGTGCTGCTCCAGCGCATGTGAGTGCTGCTCCAGCGCATGTGAGTGCTGCTCCAGCGCATGTGAGTGCTACTCCAGCGCATGTGAATGCTGCTCCAGCGCATGTGAGTGCTGCTCCAGCGCATGTGAGTGCTGCTCCAGCGCATGTACCAGTGCTGCTCCAGCGCATGTGAGTGCTGCTCCAGCGCATGTGAGTGCTGCTCCAGCGCATGTGAGTGCTGCTCCTGCGCATGTGAGTGCTGCTCCAGCGCATGTGAGTGCTACTCCAGCGCATGTGAATGCTGCTCCAGCGCATGTGAGTGCTGCTCCAGCGCATGTGAGTGCTGCTCCAGCGCATGTGAGTGCTGCTCCAGCGCATGTGAGTGCTGCTCCAGCGCATGTGAGTGCTGCTCACGCGCATGTGAGTGCTGCTCCAGCGCATGTGAGTGCTGCTCCAGCGCATGTGAGTGCTACTCAAGCGCATGTGAATGCTGCTCCAGCGCATATGAGTGCTGCTCCAGCGCATGTGAGTGCTGCTCCAGCGCATGTGAGTGCTGCTCCAGCGCATGTGAGTGCTGCTCCAGCGCATGTGAGTGCTGCTCCAGCGCATGTGAGTGCTGCTCCAGCGCATGTGAGTGCTGCTCCAGCGCATGTGAGTGCTTCTCCAGCGCATGTGAGTGCTGCTCCAGCGCATGTGAGTGCTGCTCCAGCGCATGTGAGTGCTGCTCCAGCGCATGTGAGTGCTGCTCCAGCGCATGTGAGTGCTGCTCCAGCGCATGTGAGTGCTGCTCCAGCACATGTGAGTGCTGCTCCAGCGCATGTGAGTGCTGCTCCAGCGCATATGAGTGCTGCTCCAGCGCATGTGAGTGCTGCTCCAGCGCATGTGAGTGCTACTCCAGCGCGTGTGAATGCTGCTCCAGCGCATGTGAGTGCTGCTCCAGCGCATGTGAGTGCTACTCCAGCGCATGTGAGTGCTGCTCCAGCGCATGTGAGTGCTGCTCCAGCGCATGTGAGTGCTGCTCCAGCGCATGTGAGTGCTGCTCCAGCGCATGTGAGTGCTACTCCAGCGCATGTGAGTGCTGCTCCAGCGCATGTGAGTGCTGCTCCAGCGCATGTGAGTGCTGCTCCAGCGCATGTGAGTGCTGCTCCAGCGCATGTGAGTGCTGCTCCAGCGCATGTGAGTGCTACTCCAGCGCATGTGAGTGCTGCTCCAGCGCATGTGAGTGCTACTCCAGCGCATGTGAGTGCTGCTCCAGCGCATGTGAGTGCTGCTCCAGCGCATGTGAGTGCTGCTCCAGCGCATGTGAGTGCTGCTCCAGCGCATGTGAGTGCTGCTCCAGCGCATGTGAGTGCTACTCCAGCGCATGGGAATGCTGCTCCAGCGCATGTGAGTGCTGCTCCAGCGCATGTGAGTGCTGCTCCAGCGCATGTGAGTGCTGCTCCAGCGCATGTGAGTGCTGCTCCAGCACATGTGAGTGCTGCTCCAGCGCATGTGAGTGCTGCTCCAGCGCATATGAGTGCTGCTCCAGCGCATGTGAGTGCTACTCCAGCGCGTGTGAATGCTGCTCCAGCGCATGTGAGTGCTGCTCCAGCGCATGTGAGTGCTACTCCAGCGCATGTGAGTGCTGCTCCAGCGCATGTGAGTGCTGCTCCAGCGCATGTGAGTGCTGCTCCAGCGCATGTGAGTGCTGCTCCAGCGCATGTGAGTGCTGCTCCAGCGCATGTGGGTGCCTTCTGAGTACTCTCGGCTCGCTTGCCAGGGGCGTGCCAGCAACGTGTGCAGGTACTGGCTATGCCCCAGGGGCGCGTGTGGGTGGGAGGCACTAGTGAGAGTGAGAGTGCTGAACAAATGAGAGGGAAGAGTGTGACGAGGGCGGATGGGAAAGCAGCGTGTGGAATGCTGTCTTGTCATGTGTGCGTGCAGTGCGGCAGATGGGACGCACCATCAACGTCCCAGGCATCCCTCTCCTCACCTCAGTACATTGCCCCATCTGTAGTCCTTCCACGTCTCCCCTCCCTCTCCCTCTCCTAATCTGTCATTTTCCTTGCCCCAACCTTATACGTCCAACCCCATCCAACCCCATTTCGTGTATCCCATCCATCCCCATGTTTCTCCATGTGTGCGCCACACATGCAGCAAGCTGAGAGTGAATCATCTGAACATCTCCAAATGACTAGAGCAACCTCCTTCAGTGTCACCTACCTGTCAGTACCACCCTTACCCCTCCTACCTAATCCATCCCACAACTCCTTGGCTCTGTCCCTGTTTCATTGCATGAGTTTGCGTCACATGCCAGGTAGTCCCATGCTCTCTCCCTTTCTCGGATCCCTTCTTGACCATCTGTCCTCTGGAGGAACCGGCTGAGTTGATCAGCTTGTTGACCAACCTGATGTGAGTGATCTGCGCAGAACTGGCTGAGCTGATCCGTGCCTGAGTCCCTTATCTGTCGCACCTCAACCAACTCGCCACACTGTAATATATCCACTGCACTGAGAGATCTGGGCAGGCTCAATTGCTGGGGGGTGTCACTGGGTCGAAGAGGGTAGAGGGTTAGTGGTTGCGGGCGTACTGGCATGGGGCCACTGCGTGTGCAGAGTGAAAGAGTCTCAAGTTATGATTGTGATAAATGAGAGATAGGTTAACATAGGAAAGGAAACGGTGGGCAGATTGGATGAGTGCCCACACCATCATTGGTGGGTCAATTAGGTTGACCAACACTATTGGGGGATGGGGGGGGCAATAATTGATTGGATGGCCCAGTCATTATTTGGGATCCCCCAACAAATACGGTCCAAAAATGTTGGGAAGCACTCAACCAAAATCGGTTCGGGCTACTTGAGCCAAAGTGTACCACATTGGGTGTATCACTTACAGTAGTATTAACTAGCTCATGCAACATTCTAACAGATAGATATTGAAAGACGAAAGGGAGGGGGATTGCTGTGGTGCAGCGCGGACTATGTACAGGGCGTTGTGTGCATGCATGCATTCTTGTGCGTTAGCACTCACCACTGCACCATGCAAGAATATTTTGGGTTCTGCTTTTACCAAGACTATCCCATGCATGTATATCTCGTTGTCCGTAGCACTCAGTGGGGCACATAACGCATCGCCAGTGGTCCATTCCATTCCCTGTAACCATGTGCAGGAGCCTTTCGGTCAACGGGTTCACTGTGGACAGCAGTCTGCCCTCAGCACCATCTCCACCCTCGATATCCTGTCAGCCACCCCATTGCCTCGCCCACCCTGCTGTTGCATCTGCACGTGTTATTTGTTCACTCATAGCGCCATGCGGCTCTCCTATTGCCATGCCATGCTCTGACTGTCCTCCTCGCCTTGCTGCATGCAAGGCAGCGAAGCTCCGCTCCTGTCAAGATAACGATGTTGCAATGCCCCCTTGAGTCTGATAAAGTGACGCTGCAGCCCTCAACAATATTACTTACGCGCCTAGGCCGTGTGGATGTTTCTCGAGCTCTTGAAAGAAGTCAGATTGATTAAAATGGATCAATGCAACTGCCTCTGTTCCCCTGCTCTGCCTTAGAGTCGACTACAAGCTCTGTGCTTTTTAGCTGACTGATAAGAAACTGTCTCTATCCTGTGCTCTGCCGTGCAGCGACCTGCACAATAACAACTTCCCTGGTGCCATTCCTGATTAGATCTCCACCCTACCCACACTGATGAGCATGTATGCAGACATCATGAGCATGCATGCAGACATCATGAGCATGTATGCAGTTACCATGAGCATGCATCCAGCCATCACGAGCATGTACGCAGTGATCATGAGCATGTATGCAGTCATCATGAGCATCTATGCAGTCATCATGAGCATGTTTGCAGTCACCATGAGTACGGTATGTACGCCGTTCATTCTGTCACTTCATGGGGCCAAGAATCTGCTCGTGGAACTGTGACTCACAAGTTGTGAGAGCGCGCGCGCGCGGTGTTCTTTTCAATCTCTGGGCTAATCACTGCTCCACCGAAAAATCCTCTTTCCCTACCGTACTCCAGCCTTAGTAATGTCTCGAATAGATGCTTGACACCAATCATTATAGCTTTAGGGTTCAACATACAATCATAGACAATTTTTTATGCTTGTGAGCGATTCATTGTGTACACAGGGTACAGCCGAAACATAGTGTATGGATCCAGAACGAGATTTTAGTCTACAGACCTCCACTCCCCCGTTTTGGCCCCTGCTTCATAAGGACACTGCCCTAAGGACAGAGGCAGTGGTTTATGATAAAGGATTTCGCCGAAACCCACTATCTGGTAGCTCTCTCATTTGTCCGCTCTGATGTTTGTAGCGCTTGTGTTACTTGTCAGGCCTATCACATCACGATAGGAGACACGTGTAGCATGCTGAAATCATGCTCTCCTTTCTTATCCCCAACCTAGTGTTTAATCAAGCCATGTATTTACAGGGAGCTGGCACGGTCAAACATTGGTGGAACCTAGCACCTCTATTGGAACCCTGAGTCACCTTGACATCTCGCCAACCATAACCCATCCCTGTAGCTTCTCTCTTGGTGTTTGCCTTGCTTGCCTGGTGTGTTGCTTGTGCAACCTCCTGTGCACGTATGATTCCGAGTAGGGATGAGCAAGGTGGCGAACACCTGTTCGGTTCGCCTCGAACGTGTTCGGTTCGGCAAAAGAGGGTGTTCGACAAGGGGCGAAGACGAACATGTTCGTGTTCGCCCTTTGCTCATCCCTAATTCCGAGTCTCCTTGGCTTTGCATCAGTCTATGTCAGTAGCTTTGAGGACAAGAGTCATCAAAAAGGTACTGAGACATTGCGTGTTAAAGGCATATATGCAGACTGCAATAGAATGCGCTCTCTCTCGTTCACTCAAGGACTCCCTTATCGTTCCATCATCATAGTCTGTGATGTATCACGTGTGCACACAACGTCTTCCATGCTGTGGGTTCAGGTAGCTGGAGGGTGTGGGGCTCAGGGGCACGGTCCCCAGATCATTCTCCTTCAGAACTTGGGCTTTTTGTGTGTGCACTCTGGCTGCTTGCTGTTGTATCCAGTGTCCCTTGGCGTCTGGTCCAATCACACTTATCCAAGTTACCAACCTTGACATGTAGTTGAAATCATGCTTGTATGCAACGCAACTGCATGCAACAACAGCACTCCATGCTACCTCCGCTGAGGGCCTTAGGAAGCGCACTCAACCCTGCTGGATGGGAGTCCAAGTGCTGCCATGCCATGCACGCCGCGTTCACGAGTTGTCTTCGGATGTGCTTTCTCCCAGCTACTTGAACAGGAACGTCCTCTCTGGCGATGTGTACCGCATCACACGCAATATGACCAGCCTTGTCACGCTGCAGGTGCATGGGGGGAATCGCATATGGCATGCACCATGTGCTATTTGCCATGTCCCAGGTCCCATGTGCCAATGGGCCATGTGCCATTTGTTACTTGCCTTGGTGTGTTGAGGGGGTCCTGAAAGAGCCCATTCTAAGAGAGCATTGGATTGGGAAGGAGGATTACAGATAGGACTGAAAATGCTTGTTACACCAAGCCCCTTCCTTTGGTCCGATGGTTTATCTGTATGTTCAAGGCTCATCTGCTTGCGCGCTAGTAATTGCTGACCAGCATCAAACACATTCTTCCAACAGAACACTGCATCTTTCCTCTGCACCACCCTGTGCGTGTTCACTTCTCACCCACTCTTGTCACACCCCCGCTCATGCGCCATTTTCCCACCCACTCCTCGCCTTGGCTCTCCCTGCCCTCGCCCCCCCTTCTTTACAATGACATGTCAGCCAACCAGTGACAGGGTGACTGCCATTGCCCCTGTCGCCCTACCTGCAGCCAACCAGTTCCCGCCCTACCTACCCTACACCCACCGCAACTTCTTCTTCCACGGGACCATCATCCCGCCCGAGGCCAACCTCACCTACCTTGGCAACGCCTTTGAGCATTGTCTGCTCAACGCATCTCGGGCGCCTGGAGACTACTTGGAGCAGAGGAGTGCAGAGGAGTGTGGTGCGTTCTTTGGGGTTGCTGCTGGGGATTGCCAACCCCTGTGCAGCGGGCATGGCATGTGCTGTGCAGGAATCAGTATACACCTGCGATAGCAACTTCGACAACCAGGCCGGACTGCCCTCGTGCTCCTACAGTGGTGTGTATACACAAGTTTTGGGAGAGACTGAGTGATCTGGTGTAAGAAGCAGATGGCACTCTCTTGTTGTGCCCTTTGATTGCGTTGCATACCCTGCTCATTCCTCGTAATCGTTACCATTACAGCTGCATCGCAGTTGAAACCTCTCGAACTCCTGGTGTTGATTTATTTACATCCGAGCATATTTCTTCCGCTCCGTTTGCACCCATCTGCCTTGCCTCGCTCTGGATAACCCTGCAATTCTCCCTTCAACCAAATCATCACAGACAACAGCAGTCTCCCTGGCAGGTGCAGCAGCGCAACCATTCAATGGCACCATCATCCTCACGCCCCCCACCAGCAACACGTCAGGAGCAGCACAGTGCAGCGCCCATCTGCCTCTTCCTTTTCATCGACAACCCTGGCCCGTGAAGCACGCCCTTTGTGTTCAATGCCTTCTTTAGCTTCGCCAGTCAAGTACATGGGGGGAGAAGGTTTTGTGTCAGTCGTAGGTCACTTTCAGGTCACACTCAGATCGCTCTAGAAACTCTCATAATGAGAGTCTCATATCACTTTCAGGCCACTCTCAGGTCACTCTCAGGTCACTCTCAGGTCAAAGTCAGGTCAATTTCAGGTCAATTTCAGGTCAGTCTCGTATCAGTTTCAGGTTGGTCTTAGGTCAAATAAGGTCAAATTCAGGTCAGTCTAAGGTCAAACACGGGTCAGTCTTTTGGTCAGTTTCTGGTCAGTCTCATGTCAGCCTCATGTCAGTCTGAGGCCAGTCGTGGGTGCAGGTATGATGCAGGGCCATGCCTTCCACAAACACGAGATACCCACAATCTCCCACACTACCCTTTGTTCTCCCCCACCCTACCGTCAGCAACCAACTGACCTACGTACCATTGGCGCTTTAGCCCCAACAAGCCATATTTAGCAGCCACAAGGCCAAGATTGGCACCCAGAACAATGAGCAGGGGACTCTCGATGCTGAACTGGCTCTCATGAGAGGTTAGGTACATTATTAGAAAGTGTGCCCTACTTCTTAGCATTCAGATTCCTCACCTCCCTGCCTTTTTCCCTGCCATGATAAACGTACCGTATTCTCCCGGATAAAACACCCTAGGGTATTATGAAAACCACTGGAAAAAAATGGGGGGGGGGGGGGGGGGGGGGGGGTCTCCTCAAAGGAAAATCCTATATAATTCCCGGGTCTTATGATATGGTATATTTTTTATAAAACAGAAAAGATATGAAACAAGGTCAGGGGTCTGACTTCACTTCAAGATTGTTGATCAATGCCGCAAAACCGAGTACGAGGATATTGTCGGCCACTTGGGCCACTTGGGCCACTTGGGCCACTTCACCTCTTGGACCACTTGCAGTGGAAGATTCGCCAGCGTGGCGACAGCGAGATTTTGGGATTCACCAGCGTGGCGACAGCGAGATTGTGGGAGGAGGGATATCTCGGCTGATTCTAAGTGAAAGTACATGCGAAATGTTTTCTAGGGAGTGATTTTCGCGATATCCTCCCGTAAAGAATCGGACTCGATAACAGCTATAATAGGAATCTATAAGAAAAGGGGGGTGTTATAGAGAATCACCCCAAAAAGGGGGGTATATTACTAACGGGGTCGGATATAACACCCACCCCGTATTAGCTACCCGGGGGTGTACAATTACGGGGGGGTGTTTTATCCGGGAGAATACGGTACGTTCATGATTTCTTGGCAGTTGAAGGCTAAGTTCGTAGTCAAGCTGCAAGGATACATTATGGTTCAAACTACAAATTGTATCAATAAAGACTTCATTAACCTTGGACTGTGCGTGCTCCATCCATTCCACAACACAGTAACTTGCACTGTTCCAAATTAAAATGGTTCACAACCATCTGCAGTGTCTTGTTTGAATGATGTGTTTTCATCTAGAATAGACAGTAATTAATCAGAAATGTTATAAATTGGCTAGCTTGGAAGATGTCACATGTGTGAGCACAGTCAGTGACAAATCAGGCTAGGAGATCTAATCAAAGACACCATTTTCCTATGCACAATTCACAAATCATCACAAAAATCCTGCGTCCAGAAAACCTTTGGAAAGAGTTGCTTTAAAGCTTTGTTAAATGATTTATAAACGTCTTGTTTGGTACGATATTTTGAGAAAGTATATACCTTCTTCTGGATGCTTTGTCGAACGCTGTTCGCATGCTTCTGCGATGCTTGTGTGTTCAAACCTCTCAGGTGAAAACCTTCGGCAGAAGTTTGGTTGGAGTTTCCGCAGAGCAATTTCGGAGATTGGATCTCATTGCATTGTACTCTTCAAGGACATCCGGTTTAGTTATAATGAAGTTGGATTGGAGACTTGCAATGGTTAACATGTTGTTTAACAAGATGTTTAGTTGCCTCATCCTAGCATCCAAAATGACCATTACTGAAGCGTTGGTAAATGGGTTTTATTCTCAACAAAAAAGGCACATACAAGAGCATCCTACACCCCACCCTCTCTAGTCAAAGACCCCCGCCTCTTAGGGTGATCTGCATCAACCTGCTTCTCATGCTCCCGTACACTATGCCTCCCACTACACCCCATGTCTCGTGCTCTAGGCCGAGCATGCTCGCCCCTACACCTAGCCCCCATGATCCATGCCTTGGCTGCGACCCCACTTCCTGCCTCTCTTCCTGCATCTCCCATCCCTCCTTCACTAATTGTGGTACTATTGCCCTGCCCGTGCGTCCACTGCTTCCTCGCATGTCCAGCCCTGTCATGCGTCTGCTGCTCCGCCTTAGACATCCTCCAGTCAAGCCTTTACTGCTGCTTGCTTTGTCCTATCCGGTCATGCCTATACTGCTGTGGCCCTTGCACCACTCCCCTCCGTAATGCTGTCCCCCTTTCTCTATCCACACGTGCCTTCCCTGATGCCCCCCTTGCTGTCTCCACCAATGCCTCTCCTCGCACGTATGTGATGCCTCTCCTGCTGTCCCCTTTTGTAAACTCCACGCATGCCTCATCTGCAGCCCCCCTTGTCTCGTCACACCATCATTTGGCCCTCTTGCCTCCCCTTCTTTTGCCATTTTCGTGCCTTTTGCCCTTCCTCCGCTCCTGGCCCCCCTGCTTCTCATCCTCATCCTCATCCTCTTCCTCCTCTTTCTCCTCTTCCTCCTCTTCCTCCTCTTCCACTTCCCTCCAACCTCCCTTGCCTCTGCCTCTCTTGTGCTTTCTACCCTTCCTCCGCGACTGCCCCCCCTGTTTCTCATCCTCCTGCTCCTCCTCTTCCTCATCTTCCTCCACTTCCTCTTCCCTCCTGCTTCCCTGCCCTCTGCCTCTCTTGTGCTTCCTGCCCTTCCTCCGCTCCTGCCCCCCCTGTTTCTTATCCCCAGCTCCTCTTCCTTCTCCTCTTCCTCGTCCGCTTCCCTCCTGCCTCCCCTGGTTTTCCCTCCCTTGTGCCTTCTGCCCTTCCTAAGCTCTTGCCCCCCCCGTTTCTCATCCTCTTCCTCATCCCTCCCGCCTGCCCTAGGTCTCTTGTGCCTTTTCCTCTTCCTCTGCTCCTGCCCCCACTGTTCCTCGTCCTCCTCCTCCTCCTCCTCCTCCTCCTCCTCGTCCTCCTCCTCGTCATCCTCCTCCTCCTCCTCCTCCTCCTCCTCCTCCTCATCCTCCTCCTCCTTATCCTCCTCCATGTCCTCCGAGTCGTACACCTCTTTTTCTTCCTCCTTCAGGTCCTTCGTTTCGGCATCAAGCTCAGCCTTCCCCCGGAAGGCCTCAAATCCTGACTCGTGAACATACAGCCCACGGTCGCCCCACTTGAAGCCCTTCACGTCTGTGTTGTACACGGGGGTGTGGCGTGTGAAGTGGTCCTTGATAATCCACCGCACATTACGGTGCAAACCCCCCATCCATTCACTGTTCTTCCGGTGGGAGTTGGAGACGTTCCAGTCAGTCCTCTTAACCTTTGATAGGCCCTGGTCAATCTGAAAAGGCATAGCACAGTATGGGATGGAGGAAAAACACCAACTTCAGGGGACACTCGCGTGCAGAGTTTAGAGGCTGCGCTAAATGCCCCACATACCATGCCGAGGGACTATAAAACAGCATGCCAAGCTAGAGCATACCATGGGTTGAGCAATAATTGCGTACCACCATGATTGACCAGGCAATGTGGTATGCTTTGACGCACACCCGGCGCCCGACACAGAAATTCCGAAATGCTTCCCGGACCGCATCTACAAACCGGCCGTTGGCAAACGGGAGCCCGTCTCTGTTGTTTCCCCACGAGCTGACCCGCTGTTTCCCTCCTGCGCGCATGTATGAGAATGCGGGGAAGCATGAGACATCCGTGATCATGCATGACTCATGGTTTAGGGTTGTCCAAAGGGTATGGATGAACATCGAGGACGGGGGGGAATGAATGGCGAGAGGGCGGGAGAGTAGGGGTGGGCGGGAGATAGGGGGAGGGCGGGAGAGAAGGGGAGGGCGGGAGAGAAGGGGAGGGCGGTAGAGGAAGGGAGGGCGGGAGAGAAGGGGGTGGCGGGAGAGAAGAGGAGGGCGGGAGTTAAACGGGGGGCGGGAGAAGGGGAGTGTGGGAGAAGAACCAACGGATGGCTGTCATGCGGATGTGTTTGCACATGCGCTACAAGCATGGGCGAGGAGAGCAGGTATGTAGTCGCGTGCCAAAGTGGGGATGCATTGGGGGTACGTGCTTCATCAACGTGGGGCATGCACGAGGGGTGCATGAGCAGACATGTCAATAGGGGATGGAAAACAGTCACGCAAGTACTCACTCGGTTGGTATTTTTTCCACATCTTCCGCTTCTTCTTGGTGCCCATCCACAGTTCGGCTGCACGCAGGCCTTCCACCTTGTTGCCGAAAGTGACGAGCACTCTGCGCTTGAGGTGGAAGCCACGTTCGTTCTTCCATGACGTCCAGGCGCGTTTAAAAGCGCCTATGATGTTTTTGTCTTCCATAGCCTCTCGCAGCTGCATCATGTTGATGATGTGCGTCTCGCTGATAACCTCATACAACACCTGCACGCGCTGTTCGAGCGTTGGGTAGAAGTCTATGGCATGGTCTGGCGCCTCGAGGCACATCCGGTCCCGCCCCTCTGCGAAATGAACCTACGACAGCCGGATGGATAGGAAAAAAGGATATGTGGGTGACTCCCAAAGAAGGGCGGAAACCAGAGGTCGAGAGAGTGGGATTTGGGTAACACGTGCCGCAGGCCACCCACACCACCACCAGCACCATGAACAGGGGCTCTGGTTGAGGTAGGGGAGAGCAGGGAGATAGAGGGGGGAGAGAGGGGATGAACTAGTCTGAGTGAAATCATATGGGAGAGGGAGCAGAGTGTGAGAGCACCGTACGGACTGCGTAAGGGGTCATGTTCTCCTCGTACTAAGAGTCACAACCCCCGCTGCAGCCCGGCCCGCTACACGCTGGCGCCGCATGCCACACACGCGACCAGAAGCACCGTTTAGAGGGGCTCTGGAAGAGGAGGGAGAGGGGTGGGATAGAGGGGGGGGGGGGGGGGGAGCAAGCGGAAAGAAGGGATTGGGCACGTGGGGATGACAGAGAGTGCTGCTGCTATCTCTGCGCCGCATGCCACCCACACCAGACCAGCAGCACCGTTTAGAGGGGCTCTGGAAGAGGAGGGAGAGGGGTGGGATAGAGAGGGGGGGGAGGAGCAAGCGGAAAGAAGGGATTGGGCACGTGGGGATGACAGAGAGTGCTGCTGCAATCTCTGCGCCGCATGCTACCCACACCAGAACAGCAGCACCGTTTAGAGGGGCTCTGGAAGAGGAGGGAGAGGGGTGGGATAGAGAGGGGGGGGAGGAGCAAGCGGAAAGAAGGGATTGGGCACGTGGGGATGACAGAGAGTGCTGCTGCAATCTCTGCGCCGCATGCCACCCACACCAGAACAGCAGCACCGTTTAGAGGGGCTCTGGAAGAGGAGGGAGAGGGGTGGGATAGAGAGGGGGGGGGGAGGAGCAAGTGGAAAGAAGGGATTGGGCACGTGGGGATGACAGAGAGTGCTGCTGCAATCTCTGCGCCGCATGCCACCCACACCAGACCAGCAGCACCGTTTAGAGGGGCTCTGGAAGAGGAGGGAGAGGGGTGGGATAGAGAGGGGGGGGGAGGAGCAAGCGGAAAGAAGGGATTGGGCACGTGGGGATGTCAGAGAGTGCTGCTGCTATCTCTGCGCCGCATGCCACCCACACCAGACCAGCAGCACCGTTTAGAGGGGCTCTGGAAGAGGAGGGGGAGGGGTGGGATAGAGAGGGGGGGGGGGGGGAGCAAGCGGAAAGAAGGGATTGGGCACATGGGGATGACAGAGAGTGCTGCTGCTATCTCTGCGCCGCATGCCACCCACACCAGACCAGCAGCACCGTTTAGAGGGGCTCTGGAAGAGGAGGGAGAGGGGTGGGATAGAGAGGGGGGGGGGGGGGGGAGCAAGCGGAAAAAAGGGATTGGGCACGTGGGGATGACAGAGAGTGCTGCTGCTATCTCTGCGCCGCATGCCACCCACACCAGACCAGCAGCACCGTTTAGAGGGGCTCTGGAAGAGGAGGGAGAGGGGTGGGATAGAGAGGGGGGGGGGGGGGGGAGCAAGCGGAAAGAAGGGATTGGGCACGTGGGGATGACAGAGAGTGCTGCTGCTATCTCTGCGCCGCATGCCACCCACACCAGACCAGCAGCACCGTTTAGAGGGGCTCTGGAAGAGGAGGGAGAGGGGTGGGATAGAGAGGGGGGGGGAGGAGCAAACGGAAAGAAGGGATTGGGCACGTGGGGATGACAGAGAGTGCTGCTGCTATCTCTGCGCCGCATGCCACCCACACCAGACCAGCAGCACTGTTTAGAGGGGCTCTGGAAGAGGAGGGGGAGGGGTGGGATAGAGAGGGGGGGGGGGGGGGGGGGGAGCAAGCGGAAAGAAGGGATTGGGCGCGTAGGGATGACAGAGAGGGCTGCTGCTATCTCTGCGCCGCATGCCACCCACACCAGACCAGCAGCACCATTTAGAGGGGCTCTGGAAGAGGAGGGAGAGGGGTGGGATAGAGAGGGGGGGGGGGGGGGGGGAGCAAGCGGAAAAAAGGGATTGGGCACGTGGGGATGACAGAGAGTGCTGCTGCTATCTCTGCGCCGCATGCCACCCACACCAGACCAGCAGCACCGTTTAGAGGGGCTCTGGAAGAGGAGGGAGAGGGGTGGGATAGAGAGGGGGGGGGGGGGGGGAGCAAGCGGAAAGAAGGGATTGGGCACGTGGGGATGACAGAGAGTGCTGCTGCTATCTCTGCGCCGCATGCCACCCACACCAGACCAGCAGCACCGTTTAGAGGGGCTCTGGAAGAGGAGGGAGAGGGGTGGGATAGAGAGGGGGGGGGGAGGAGCAAACGGAAAGAAGGGATTGGGCACGTGGGGATGACAGAGAGTGCTGCTGCTATCTCTGCGCCGCATGCCACCCACACCAGACCAGCAGCACTGTTTAGAGGGGCTCTGGAAGAGGAGGGGGAGGGGTGGGATAGAGAGGGGGGGGGGGGGGGGGAGCAAGCGGAAAGAAGGGATTGGGCGCGTAGGGATGACAGAGAGGGCTGCTGCTATCTCTGCGCCGCATGCCACCCACACCAGACCAGCAGCACCGTTTAGAGGGGCTCTGGAAGAGGAGGGAGAGGGGTGGGATAGAGAGGGGGGGGAGGAGCAAGCGGAAAGAAGGGATTGGGCACGTGGGGATGACAGAGAGTGCTGCTGCAATCTCTGCGCCGCATGCCACCCACACCAGAACAGCAGCACCGTTTAGAGGGGCTCTGGAAGAGGAGGGAGAGGGGTGGGATAGAGAGGGGGGGGGAGGAGCAAGCGGAAAGAAGGGATTGGGCACGTGGGGATGACAGAGAGTGCTGCTGCAATCTCTGCGCCGCATGCCACCCACACCAGACCAGCAGCACCGTTTAGAGGGGCTCTGGAAGAGGAGGGAGAGGGGTGGGATAGAGAGGGGGGGGGAGGAGCAAGCGGAAAGAAGGGATTGGGCACGTGGGGATATCAGAGAGTGCTGCTGCTATCTCTGCGCCGCATGCCACCCACACCAGACCAGCAGCACCGTTTAGAGGGGCTCTGGAAGAGGAGGGGGAGGGGTGGGATAGAGAGGGGGGGGGGGGGGGAGCAAGCGGAAAGAGGGGATTGGGCACATGGGGATGACAGAGAGTGCTGCTGCTATCTCTGCGCCGCATGCCACCCACACCAGACCAGCAGCACCGTTTAGAGGGGCTCTGGAAGAGGAGGGGGAGGGGTGGGATAGAGAGGGGGGGGGGGGGGGGGGGGGGAGCAAGCGGAAAGAAGGGATTGGGCACGTGGGGATGACAGAGAGTGCTGCTGCTATCTCTGCGCCGCATGCCACCCACACCAGACCAGCAGCACCGTTTAAAGGGGCTCTGGAAGAGGAGGGAGAGGGGTGGGATAGAGAGGGGGGGGGGGGGGGGGGAGCAAGCGGAAAGAAGGGATTGGGCACGTGGGGATGACAGAGAGTGCTGCTGCTATCTCTGCGCCGCATGCCACCCACACCAGACCAGCAGCACCGTTTAGAGGGGCTCTGGAAGAGGAGGGAGAGGGGTGGGATAGAGAGGGGGGGGGAGGAGCAAGCGGAAAGAAGGGATCGGGCACGTGGGGATGACAGAGAGTGCTGCTGCTATCTCTGCGCCGCATGCCACCCACACCAGACCAGCAGCACTGTTTAGAGGGGCTCTGGAAGAGGAGGGGGAGGGGTGGGATAGAGAGGGGGGGGGGGGGGGGGGGGAGCAAGCGGAAAGAAGGGATTGGGCGCGTAGGGATGACAGAGAGGGCTGCTGCTATCTCTGCGCCGCATGCCACCCATACCAGACAAGCAGCGCCATGAACAGGGGCTCTGGAAGAGGATGTGGAGTGACGGGAGAGAGGGGGGGGGAGGGAGGAAATAGAACAGTTATGGTGACCTCGGAGAGGTGGGGCAGAGTGTGAGAGTATCGTACGCCCAGCGCCAGCGTCCCTGAAGCGGGGCGTACTGGGAGTGCCTATCACACCGCAGCCAGGCCGCTATCACTGCGCATAATGGTACAAACACTCTGACCAGCATAAAGAGGTGGGGGAAACGAGGTGTTGAGAGAGAGAGCTGCAGCTATCACTGAGCCCCATGCCACACCTTGCTTAACACTTAAACATACCCACCTTCAGCAGCTTGGGCTTGGGCATCCCACGCGTTCGACGGACCGGTACGTCTACCGTCGATGGGCTTTCTGGCGCCACGCCTGGATCGAGGCCCACTGCAGATGGGCCGCTCGACAGAGACACAATACGAGGAGGCCTAGACGGAGGGGTGCAGGGTTTGACAGGTCCTTTGGCTCCTGGCCTTGCCTTGAGTGCCGCAATTTCGCGTTCCCGCTGGGCAAGCTCCCAAATGAGCTGCTCCACCGTCTTGCCGCCAGCCACATTGGGCCGATTGGATGCGCCAGGTGTGCCCATGCTCTCGCCCCTCCCCTCCTTAGTCGCCGGATCCATTTTCAAGTCTCTTCCTTCTCCCCTGCTATTCCGTGCATCCCACATGGAGCCTTCCACACCGCCGCCACATTCACCCAAGGAATTCGCCCACACACCTCCTCCCACACCGTCATTGGCTGCTGCGGCGGCCGAGGGTTCGTGCCGCTTCGTTGCTCCCTCGATTTTCACCTGAACCGCGTGACCCCCCGAAAGCTTTGCATGCGGGTCCGTCGCTTCCCTGCCAAACCGCGCTGACCCCCAAGCGATCGGATCTCCCTTCCCAGACGAATCCATCTGCTCACGTAACGCAGCATACGTGTCGGTGGCTTTCCGATCATGAGGGCTTGATGGACATCGTAGCCCCATGGACTCGTAAAAATCCAACTCCCGCTTCTCCTTGCTTCGCACACCCACAATTTTAGCTTCGAATCGAGGTCTCCGGCGCTTGCCATGTGGTTTGGCACGACGCACACTCTGCTTATAGCTCTTCACCCGTCCTGTCTCCGGTTTTCGCTTTCCATTGCCCTTCTTGGTCTTCCGCACACCCCTCCTCTTCAAAGGCCGAGCCTCCTCCTCATCCTCGCTCTCCGGCTCCAACTCCTCATCCTCCTCTTCCTCTTCCTCCTCCTCCTCGTCCTCGTATACTTCCTCACTCCCGGATGAGCTGCCTGACTCACTGTCACTGGATCCCTCCTCCGAACCCGACGAGCTCGAAACATACTGTTTCGTCCCCTGTCGAGCTTGTCTCGCATTTCGGTCGCGACCGGCCGAGTCCACAGCATTGCGTCGTTTGTACGGAATCACAGCTTCACGTCCATGTTTTTTCCCAGCAGTCACTACTGCAGGCTTGTCCTCATCCTGATCGATACCGCCACCACCTCGCTGCTCTGCTAGCCCTGCAGCGAGAGGGATATGAGAGAGCCAATCTCGGTGTCACGTCACTCACGACATAGTTGCTGGTGCAACAGGTAACAATATACAAGGAGGGTGGCAGCGAAGGCTATGCAACCTCAAAATCAAGGACAGAAGTAGCCAGGAACCGCCAACCTTCTATAACGGGCCTGGGCAGCGCCTGCTCGTCGCCACCAGCCACATCCAGCGAGAGCCTCCCCGAGGGACTGCCCTTGGCCGCCGTCGCTGTCTTCTCGTTGTTGCGCTTTCCACCACCACGCCCTTCAAGCTCGCCATGTTCCTGCTCGTCGCCACCAGCCACCTCCTGCGAGAGCCTCCCCGAGGGACTGCCCTTTGCCGCCGCCGCCTTCACGTTGTTGCGCTTTCCACCACCACGCCCTTCAAGCTCACCATGTTCCTGCTCGTCGCCACGCGCAGACATTCCTAGGCGGCCAGATGGACTGCCATGATACTCCGCAGCCCTCCCGCTACGGTCATAACATCTACCGCGTTGTCCTACACGCCTGCCTGCTGACGGAGCTGCGAGGGCGGACATCACAAGAACATTAGCAGTCCAGTGCGCGCTAACCTTAATTGCACGAAGTGGCATCAGTATGATCAATCGATGCAGGGAGTAACGTGCTACTTAGAAACCGGCGATATTACACAAACACGCACCTTCTTTGACGGGTCCGCCGTCCTCGACCTCCTCGTCGCCTTCAGACGCAGCATGTGAAGTAGTGCCTCTCTTTTGTTGACGGCGCTTACGCCCCTTTCGGTTGTCACGCTTGTCCTCTGACAATGTTACGGGGGAGCACAATCGGAGCTTCAGTAACGGGAACATGTCAAACACGATGGCAAACCGCACTTACTGGATCGGTCGGAGGTAATTAATCATGCAAGTCTACCTTTCAGCAGATGGTACCAAGACACGTACCTTTCTGGCCGGCTTTGGGACCGATGTCATCTAAGCGCCTCACGCGCCTCTCCCTTGGTTTTGGAGGGGAGGACACGCCCTTGTTAGCGTATGCCCCAACATCGCCGTCGCTATTTGACTCGTCACCAGATGAAGAGTCCCGTCCTGACTCAACGTCATCATGCGCCGACGACGCATTGTACTTGCGGTACTCGTTAACGATCTCGGCCGTTTTATCTACTGTAACTAACTCCATATAATTTTTTTTCCTCCGGCAATTTCGACGAGTCTGCCAAAACGATCGCCCCATCGGGCCCCTTAATCGTCTGACTATCCATTGCAATGTCTAGGTTTCCATTCACGCAGTAGTATGAGGTGTGTGTTAGTTATGACGTTGCAACCTGACGGCTACGCTTCGCGCACTAAAAAATTGTTGAGCATAGAAGGGACGAGGATCAGACAGGGGCCTGGAGCAGATGACCGTCCCACAAGCAGGCACGCAAGAGGAGCACGGAGGTGACGAGGGTTTGAGTGTTTCCTGCTCTGTTCCACCTTGCGACATCCAGGTCCCTCGTTTCCCCAAACAACCAATCACACGGTGGTGAACGCGCATCCATAAAAAAATTGCGGCTCCAATGGGGCATGATTAAGTGGGAGTGGGCGTTTATCCGTCTAGTAGCGGCAGGGAGCGATACAAAATGTTGCTAGTGCTTAAACGTGCGCTAGTGTATAAGGGCTCACGAAAGATATCTATTCTGCCCGCACAGACTTTATGTGGCTAATTTTCATAGTCTTCCACGCGTGCCTCACGAAGCTTGGCGCAGGCGTCACGTCAATAGTAAAATCGCCACTTCGGAGAAACGGGGACGAACCATTGGCGCAATTCGTACAGCGATGCGACAGTCTGATACGAAGCCGTTATGGAACACCTGCGATAAGAACGCATGCTCAGGAGTTAGTTGTGAGTGGTGGCGATTGGGTCGCAAGTCGGAGAGAACAACATTCGTGGCAATGAACTGAGGTACGTGGTATGGCGCACGGGGGGCACAAAATGACACATTTATTTGCAAGGCTGCAATACAGTGTTGAAAGAACATATAAATCATTACTACCAATGGAATGTTGAGCTGTCCAATACCGTACGTTTACTCACAAGTATGAGCACCGACAGTGCATAACCAGACACATCCTTCACGGACCAACTGTCAAATTTTTTAAGGAGAGCAGTGACCCTGTTACCTTGATTGTTGTTTAAATATGGTCTAGGTTAATAATATATTGGTGTCGCAACAAGGTAGCTACTGGTATGTCATTTGTGGTGCAACATTACCAGTGCCATACACAAACAGTTGGGCTGAAAAGCTTTTAGGATCTTTGCAGGGGTGAACTCTGGGTAGACTTGGTGTAGTAGCGGAAGCGTTAATTAAAGTGTTGTGAACCACCTTGCGCTTGTATGTGAGGGCAAAGTAAATTGATTAAAGCAAAGAGATACAAGATTATATAAGAGTACAAGGAATACGAAGAGATACGGTTGCAACTACTTTACTGTTGCTGTTGTGGTTCGATACAGTGACGACTCGGGCAACTGCTCTGCAGCGAGTCAGTTGTGTGTCCTTGCTGTCGCGCTGTACTTGTCAGGTCAAAGGTCGCTGACCTTTGACCTGACCGTAACCTCCGACAGTTACTTCATCCTCCGAGGGTTGACTCGCTGGTGCTTCGATACCGTAGTGTTTTGCTTCGTTTGTGTTTTGGTGTTTCGACACGACACAGGCGCTTAGGACCAATTGTTTCCAACACAAACTCCCATCATGGGGCGTCTCTGCACTGTTGTCCTGTAGGGCAGCTATAGTGCATAAATAAATTGCTTGATGTGTTGTATGTTCTTATTTCATGCTTGACAGGAGGTGACAAACACTTGCTGTTTGGTCACGTGAGTGATGGGGACTGTTTCGAAGCCTCACCCACGCGTTCTGTGACTTGCTTGTTGGCTTGTCACGATGGACTAGACGGTGGGACAAACAAATCCTCCTTATAGGTCTTGTTTGACAACATAGGCCCAATAAGTTCACCCTATGCTGAGACCTGCTACCCGCCTCATCCCCTCCTGCTCCCTGCTACCTGCCTATGCCTCATTCCCCCTTGCTACCAGCCTCATTCCCCCTTGCTACCTGCCTCGTTCCCCCTTGCTACCTGCCTCATTACCCCTTGCTATCCACCTCATGCCCCCTTGCTACCCTGCTCATTCCCCCTTGCTACTTGCCTCGTTCCCCCTTGCTACCTGCCTCATTCCCCCATGCTACCAAACTCATTCCCGATTGCTACCCGCCTTATTCCCCCATGCTACATGCCTCATTCCCCCATGATACCCGCCTCAATCTCCCTTCCTACCCGCCTCAATCCCCACTTCATACCCGCCCCATTCTCCCTTGCTAACCACCTCATTCTCACATGCTACCCGCCTCATTCCCCCATGCTACCCGCCCCATTCCCCCTTGCTACCCGCCTCATTCCCCCTTGCTACCTGCCTCATTCCCCCATGCTTCCCGCCCTATTCCCCCTTGCTACCCGCCTCAATCTCCCTTGCTACCCGCCTCATCCCCCCTTGCTACCTGCCTCATCCCCCCATGCTTCCCGCCTCATTCCCCCTTGCTACCCGCCCCATTCCCCCTTGCTACCCGCCTCATTCCCCCTTGCTACCTGCCTCATTCCCCCATGCTTCCCGCCTCATTCCCCCTTGCTTCCCGCCTCATTCCCCCTTGCTACCCGCCCCATTCCCCCTTGCTACCCGCCTCATTCCCCCTTGCTACCTGCCTCATTCCCCCATGCTTCCCGCCTCATTCCCCCTTGCTACCTGCCTCATTCCCCCATGCTTCCCGCCCCATTCCCCCTTGCTTCCCGCCTCATTCCCCCTTGCTACCCGCCCCATTCCCCCTTGCTACCCGCCTCATTCCCCCTTGCTACCTGCCTCATTCCCCCATGCTTCCCGCCTCATTCCCCCTTGCTACCTGCCTCATTCCCCCATGCTTCCCGCCCCATTCCCCCTTGCTTCCCGCCTCATTCCCCCTTGCTACCCGCCCCATTCCCCCTTGCTACCCGCCTCATTCCCCCTTGCTACCTGCCTCATTCCCCCATGCTTCCCGCCTCATTCCCCCTTGCTACCTGCCTCATTCCCCCATGCTTCCCGCCTCATTCCCCCTTGCTTCCCGCCTCATTCCCCCTTGCTACCCGCCCCATTCCCCCTTGCTACCCGCCTCATTCCCCCTTGCTACCTGCCTCATTCCCCCATGCTTCCCGCCTCATTCCACCTTGCTACCTGCCTCATTCCCCCTTGCTACCCGCCCCATTCCCCCTTGCTACCCGCCTCAATCTCCCTTGCTACCCGTCTCAATCCCCACTTCATACCCGCCTCACTCCCCCTTTGCTATCAGCCTCATCCCCCTTCGCTCACCCTGTCATTCTCATTCCAGTCGCGTTCCACAGACCACTTCCTCAAATCGCGACGGTACTGACGGCGCCATTTGAGTGGCGTACCAACAAGCTCACACGCAGGGAGGTTACGGAAACCATCCTCGACCAATGTGTGCATCACACGCATCGCGAACACACGACAGTCATTCTCATTGTCCTGCATTGGAATCTAAAGACACACAGGGTCAATTACGGCAGTGTAAGGCCCGTCCAAAATTGGGGGTTGGTGGAGGAAATCGCGTTGCGAGAAAAAGAGATGCATGGGCTCGGAGCTCGTACAAACAAGGCAATTTCGCTCACCTTGACGTGCCGTAGCGGGATGCTCGCAGCCCATGCATCAGCGTCCGAATCAATGATCCACGAACATCATTTTACGACCTCGTTTCGTAAATACCTGCATATCGGATGATGCTTCTTCAATTATTTAGTTACCCCGTTTTGAGTTACGAGACAACAGCATACTACCATTTGAGAGCGAATACCTGCGCAACGGAGCGTCAACACCGTCATGGGTACCGTTCGAGTCAGCGTGCCATAGCACGCAGTTCATGGGAATCGGGTCGTCGGGTCTCGGGATTCTCTCGATGACGATCAAGCTCCAATGACTCCTAATGCGCAAACGAGGACTAGCATCATTAAAAACGACATTATCATTGCGAATTATTTCTGGTGCAACGGCACGACGCGGCGAGAACTTACTCGGTATTAATCGGAACTAGAACGTGTGTGAATTCGAATATTCCCAATCCGAAAGTGTAGGCGTTTTCAGGCCTCGGTGTGTCCTTCCGAGCGTAGTCCCAGAAATAGGATCCAGCGTAAAGCCACTTTGAGCGGTTGCGACCGTGTTCGTACTGCAGCATCCTGCGAGTGCGCAGATTAACGCCAAAATAAAAGCATGAGAGAACCGTGTCGTCACTGTGTAATGAGTCTATATTCGTGATACTCACACACCGAGCCAATCAATCACAATTCCGCTGACCCATTCACCGGATCGTAGCCTATTGGCGTGGTCTACGGTTATGTCGAGCCAGCCTCCGCCGTAGGGAAAGGGCATGGAGATCGGCTGAAAGGCTAGTTTACTATCTAAGCTTGGAAGAGCCATGGCTGAATGTTCCTGACTTCGAGTTGCGAGTGGCACTGGGGAAATTATGAGGAAGCAGCACCACTTCTGACTCTGTGCTTTGGAGCCACGTTACTATGGGTCACGAGTTGCTTTGCAGGTTGGTGCCACATTCGTTAATTTTTGCTACTCGTACCCTAACCTACCTGAACCTGGAACATGTCTCAATCGCATGGACGACATTCGCCAGAGGGCCCCACTTGTCGGGGCTCTTTAGCAATGGGGTCTGGTTCCCCATCTGCTGACATCACAGATACACCCCCCTTAACAGGGGGAGAGCCAATCAAAACATCGGAACGACGAGGTGGAACACCTTCTCGGGGCTAGCGATTCCACGCGTCAGACTCTCACCGGTAACTTGGTGGCTGTTGTGAATGTGTCCTTTTTCCCCGATTTGGGCACGCGCCATCCCTAATAATGTTACGGCGCGCAGAGGTCCGTCCACTCCACACATCCACTCTCCCATCTTCTGGGCGCAGTAGTGGATGCCCGTTAGATGAAATCTAACGGTGAAGACAGGATGAAATCCTCCAGCTGTTTAGGGTTCCCATCTGACAGCCTAACACGTTTGTTGCACGAAGCAGCGTGATTGGTGCATACGTGTACGGCTGTCTGAAATAATCCTGGAAGAATCGGAGCCAGGCCCCTGGAATTCATCGAGTTTTTTC